TATGAAACCGCAACGGTCGAATGACCGAACAAGTAAAGTAAAAACGGTTATGAAACCGCAACGGTCGAATGACCGAACAAGTTGATCTTAAGTGAGTTGATCTTAAAAGATTTGATCTCCAATGACTTGATCTTAAATGAGTTGATTTTAAATGACTTGATCTTAAATGAGTTGATTTTAAAATGACTTGATCTTATATGAGTTGATTTTAAAATTTGAGTTGCAACAGTCAAACGACTGAGCAAGTTGGTTGCTACAGTCAAACAACCGAGCGAATTGGGTAGCTATGGTTAAACGACCGAGCCAATTGAGTAGCTAAGGTCAAATGACCAAGCCAATTGAGTAAGTTGATCTTAAACAAGTTGATCTTAAATGGTTTTGATCTGAAATGGTTTTGATCTTAAATGAGCTGATTTTAGCTGAGTTGATCTTAGATGAATTGATTTTAAATGAGTTGATCTTAAGTGATTTGATCTTCAATGAGTTGATCTTAAATGACTTGATCTTAAATGACTTGATTTTAAAATTTGAGTTGCAACGGTCAAACGACCGAGCCAATTGAGATGGTTATATAACCACAATGGAACAGTAGAGTATGAGTATGGTCAAATGACTGAAAGAAGTAGAGTATCAGTATAGGGGCCTAATGAGTGTAAATGCAACCAAAAGGCTGGATGAAAGTAATGATTGAAAGATCTGCAGCCATGAAACATATGCAAGTGAGACAATCTTCATATATAAGATAAGGTAGAGTGAAGAGAGGTTAAGAAACTTTCCTGAACATATTAGATGTCCATATTTGAAAAGAGTCCGGTGTCCTTCATGTTGTGTATGCATTAACAAGCTCAATGACATGCTTTGCATAAAGTTCAGTGACTTGAGAGCATCTCTAGTTCACTGGGGAAAATTCTCGAATCATTGCAAGAGATGATAAGCACCATGACCATTGGATCAACCTTCTGCTTTTCTTTGCAACTTTCATTTCATTTGTTTTTTTTTTAGATTTGTCAAGAGATTTCAACAATTATATTAACTGAAATAAAGCATCATAACCAATTAGCATCCCAATCTAAACAAGGAAAAGAATGCCAGGGCATGGATAATATGAAGGGATAAAAAGAGAAGAGTAGAATGTGGATAATATGGATAGACAATGTAATGAGATGATGTGATTTTGAGATAAACAAGATTTTTTTGAAGTGCATAACTTTTGATGCAACAATTTTGACAAGGTTAGAAGGCATTCAGGCTATAAAGCATTTGCTTCAAGAATTTATTTCTTTGTAACTCCACCAATCCAGTCTTTAGCATATGACACAATGTCTACTTCCATGCCAAGGTGGATAAATCCAATCTATCTCCTTCCCATGAACTAACCTTCAATGTTTAGAAGACCAATCATAAACCATCAAGCTAACTAGCTTGGACTTGTCAGAGAAAGGATTTTTTTTTTTTTTTTGTTGAAGGAAATTCATGATCAGACTAAAAGCTGTTAAATTCTTTGATAAGGACTTTTATTGGCTTGTAATGTGGCTTTGGGTTAAGTTATCAAAAAGAAGGATAT